TGAAGGCTGTGTCGCTGATCGTGTCAGCGTGTTTATAGTAGTTCATCGATGACTGTAAAACGTGTTTTGGAGCTGTCCTGACAATATTGACAAAATAAAGTGTGTTTCGATACTTCATCAAGTGTCGTCGTTATTCACTCCGAATCTATGAACCCCGTACGAACCTGAAGGAAGAAAATAACATAACAACTGGTGTCAGAAGAATAAAAAAAACGCTACATTACTTTGCCTTCTTGCCTGCTGGTGGAATTGCTTGATTTTACATAGAAAGTCTTAATTTGAATTCTAAAAAAAATTTTTTTTTTTAATTTTTATTTTTTTAACTGTATTTGGTGTTTTTTTATTTAGTGTATGTTTTCTGTATTTTTCAATTTTAAATGAAAATATTTTCAAATAGGTATTGCTGCAAAATGAGAACTGAATTAATTGAATGAGAAAATATCTACAGGAATTCAAGGAAATACATTTAAATGAAGTCATGTGGTTTGCATATCAGCTTTTTTTTTATATTTATTTATTGCATAAGAAGTTCATATATTTAAAAATTATGAACTTAGAATGATTATCATAAATTTTATTTCCACTACTCTTTGCTATATTATACTGTTATTTTGAATTTTTGAAATGTTTATTTCTATAACTTCTGAAAACTTCATGATAGTTTTGCTAAACCAATTTTATTGAAATCCAGAGGATTTCAAAGTTGGGCGGTTGGATTTAGTAGTATACTACAATCCACTCTAAACCATGTGAACAATTGTAATTATATGTTAATTCCTACACTAGCTTCTCCAGTCTCAAATCCTAATGGTAAAAGATTATTTCTCCTAAATTTGTTTAATTTTAATATTTTAAAACCACCTTCTTCTATGTTTCATGCTATGTCTACTATATATGTTACTACAGCATTCATATTTGGAATTCTATCATCAGTTACAATTTATGGTCATAATTTGCTCCAACAAACATGCATTATGTTAAGTTCCATTATTTATTACAGAATACTCAAAATAGAGCAAACTCCACATTCCGATTTTGCATATATACAATACACACATTATCAATTTTTTTCAACCAAAGCTAGGGTTAAAGAAAAGGGCTAGATCATTCCTTTGAGCGACCCCTTGGCAATGCGATCCTCATAGGGGCAGTTAACAAGACGTAGTCTGACATCACTATGCTCAATCAACTCTGAGTTCACATGTTTAAAACTGTAATTCTGCTGCGAAGTGATATTCTAGCAATGTGGACATCCAAAATTAATTTTTTTCACACAGATTTGTTTTCTATTAGTGTAAAATATTTAGAAAATTTTGTATCTATAATTTTAGTAATTTTTTTTTTTTTAAATTTATGGTGCAAAGTATCATTTATGTAATATGTCTTCTTATACTGCAGCAACATTCATGAACCGTGCAGTGCCGTAACATTCATGAAGGTGAAAAAGATAGGGATATTGTATTTCATTTTTTCTAAATAACAGTTTGCTTTTTTGGGGTGGGAAAAATTGGACAGGTGTCAAAGACAGGATTCTATTATAGTGAAGAATGCAAGATTTGCAACAAACATTTTCTATTTCATGATTATGAAGATGGCATGAAAAATCGCCTACTTGGATTGCCACAAAAGAAAATGTTGAAATCCAATGCTGCACCAGGAAAGGAAGAATAATGCATAGTGCTTCTGAAATCCTACATGAATTAAATCTGAAGAAAATTTATTTTGAGGATGAATACAGAAACGATGATGGGAATAATAAATCAGATATGCATGATTTGATAATAGAACTTGCAAATAATGATGCAAATATTCTTTATGCCCTATTTGCAACAATAAACAAGAATACATTGATAACTTGTAAAAAAACAAACAAAGCTAGGTGAGCATTTTAAGTAATTTATAATCATATAAAACATCAAAGTAATTTTGCATAAAAATGACTTTAAACCTTAGCCCCTCTTTTGAAAAATTAAGTAATTTGCTTTAGATACATTCAGCAAAGTTATTTTGTCAAACTTAAGACAGCGAGCTGGCATATTGTGTTTATTTAAATGTAGTGTACATCATATACATGTGAATATAAGTCAGAAAATTATTTTTTAAATATTTATCATTATATAAAATCGCAAGAGAAACGCACCAAAGTAAAATTTATTATTAGGCCAAAAAGCAATCTCAGATTAGATTAAATTCTGAATAAAACTATGAATTTCAAAGACAGTTAAACACAAATTCCTCTTCTTTAGCAGGAGAAAAAAAAATTGACATATATGTTCAAAACTATGCCAAACTAACCAATTTAAGGTTGCTTTTTTTTGGGGGGGGGATTGACTAAAAAGCTGTTATCATAGTTATAACAGAAAGAGTAATAGAATTCTCTCTCTTAGTATGCAGACATTTTTCTTCATGATTTGAAAATAAATGCACAGGTTGGGGGGAGATGTAACTTTCAAGAAAATGAAAATGTATCATATTTTTATGTATTACTTCAAAATTAATAAAAAATTATTAAATTTTTAAATGTCATAAATGCATGCAACAATGAATTTTCTCTGCATGCAGCACAGTTTATTTTAAGGCTGATTCTTCAAATTTAAAACATTAATATATTTGCTGTGAATTGTGTCTTCGTGAACAATGTCAGCATGACTGCCGTTACTCCTCACTGAAAAACAGGAAGTGAACTAGCCCTTCTCTTCTAAGTCCTATGACGAAAGAGGACGAAATGAAAAACAGTAAGAGATCAAAATCGTAAAAACAACCTTGTATTTAGCGTAGGTATAATGAAACACTCAATCGATTTCGAGGGCAGCTAAAGGTCCCTCCTCATCAGGAGAAAGAAATACCTAGAAAGAAGAAAATAAAGGAGAAGGAGTCTCAGAAACACGTGGTCCTTATCAGCACTGCACGTGGTTATAGCTGGATTTTTTTAATCAGAGTTGCACTGGCCGCCTACTTTTACTGAGCCAGGCTATCTGATCAAGCATAAAGGACAAGAAAAATTAGTGAAGTTAAACTAGGGAGCGAGGGGCAAATGCACCTTCACGCTCAAAATCTGAACTTCAAATAATGGAAAGCAACCACTGAACGGATTTTTATACCCTCTGGTAGTACCAAACACGAGGAGGTAACGCCATCTATCGGCAAAATAACTGAATTAAAATAGTAGAATTTTAAAGGCATTAGGAAGGACTGGATTGGACTTCAAATCATTAACTAAACCTGCTAAATCTTTGTGAATGTGAAAAGCCTCAAGAAAATCCAATTCACCTATAGAAGAAGCCTTTTAGATAATTTTTGCAGACCCAAAGTCAAAATTATGGTTAAATGTCCAACTATGATACGCTATTGAAGACTTGTTAATTTCGCCTTTTCTGACATAAGACTCATGTTCCTTGATACGAAACTTCAACACTCTTTTTGTTTGGCCAATATATCTTAAACCACACTGACACGATATACTATAAATTCCCCAAGAATTCAAGACAGAAACGTAATCTTTTAGAATCGAAGGGTGAATTTTATTAATAGGGGAGAAATGACTTGAAAATTGAATTTCTGGAGAATCCGTGCAATTTTATAGTTAACAGAAGGATAAAATGGAAGCACGACAAGATCATTAATATTATTTCTAACAGTGGAATGCCTTCTTTGATGGGAATCTGAAAAATATTTAACGGGATCACGGGAGAAAATCCATGGTCAATCGCAACTGCTCTCAAATAATTAAGTTCATTGGTAAGCAAAGATTCAGAGGAACAAACTTTAAGCGTGCGGAATACATAATAGTAAAAGGAAGCCATTTTTTGCTTAACAGGGTGGCATGACTTGGCATGGGGTGGTAAATAAACTGCAAAGGGTTTACGGTACACAGTGGTGCTAAAATCAGTTTCATTGCGGATTATAAGAATATCAAGGAAGGAGAGGGAATTGTTGGATTCAATTTCAAGAGTGAATTGGATGGCTGGATCAATTGAATTCATAATAGATAGATATGATCAATTGAATTCATAATAAAAAGGGGGGAAAGAAAAAGAGGATTTATCTGAGATTCTATCTACTATAATAATATTAATGACCTTGTCGTGCTTCCATTTTATCCTTCTGTTAGCTATAAAATTGCACGGATTCTCCAGAAATTCAATTTTCAAGTCGGTTTCTCCCCTATTAATAAAATTCACCCTTTGATTCTAAAAGATTGCGTTTCTGTCTTGAATTCTTATAGTATATCGTGTCAGTGTGGTTTAAGATATATTGGCCAAACAAAAAGAGCGTTGAAGTTTCTTATCAAGGAACATGAATCTTATGTCAGAAAAGGCAAAATTAACAAGTCTTCAATAGCGTATCATAGTTGGACATTTAACCATAATTTTGACTTTGGGTCTGCAAAAATTATCTAAAAGGCTTCTTCCATAGGTGAATTGGATTTTCTTGAGGCTTTTCACATTCACAAAGATTTAGCAGGTTTAGTTAATGATTTGAAGTCCAATCCAGTCCTTCCTAATGCCTTTAAAATTCTACTATTTTAATTTAGTTATTTTTGCCGATAGATGGCGTTACCTCCTCGCGTTTGGTACTACCAGAGGGTATAAAAATCCGTTCAGTGGTTGCTTTCCATTATTTAAAGTTTAGATTTTGAGCGTGAAGGTGCATTTGCCCCTCGCTCCCTAGTTTAACTTCACTAATTTTTCTTGTCCTTTATGCTTGATCAGATAGCCTGGCTCAGTAAAAGTAGGCGGCCAGTGCAACTCTGATTAAAGAATTCAGCTATAACCACGTGCAGTGCTGATAAGGACCACATGTTTCTGAACTCCTTCTCCTTTATTTTCTTCTTTCTAGGTATTTCTTTCTCCTGATGAGGAGGGACCTTTCGCTGCCCTCGAAATCAATTGAGTGTTTCATTATACCTACGCTAAATACAAGGTTGTTTTTACGATTTTGATTGCCACATTAGCGTGTTTCTCTTCTAGTACAGTAAGAGATGTCCATAATTCTCTTACCTTTTCTACAAAAGAAGAAGAACTTTCTTCTACATCTGATGAAACAGGAATCCACGCTTGAGGAAGTTTTGAACGAGCAGAAGGAGAAAGTGAACCAATTCTCAACAAGACACTACCTTCTTCTGTGCAAGCCCATGAAACATGCGGGGCACAACTAATATGGGTGATACTTGTAGAACCTATTGAAGTCAAATTTTCTGCCTTTACTTTCACATTAATTTCACACACTGCAACATTCAAATGTTTTTTGTTATACGATAAATCATCATTTTCATGAATGCAGGAGCAAATACTTACTTCACAGGTAATTTTTTAATACAAGAAAACTGCTTTCTCTTGCATCTTTTTTTTTTTTTTTTTCTTTTGTTTTTTTGTTTAAAAGATACCTGTTTCACGAAAAGATAGGTACATAAAACAGCTTCAACTCAACAATAACTTAAAAAACATGTATTAAACTACTAGGAAAGAAGCTAGATTATGGACAACTGATTAGAGAATAAAGAATAGCCTTCAATTCTGAAAACATTGTTCAAATTTACTGAAAACTGAAAATTGCATTCATTTATTATTTGAGATTGCTTCTTAAATAATATTCAACATTTCAAACAGATAAGCTATAAATTGTGTGGATATCTTAGGAAAAGACAAATTTAATTTGTTAAAAATGAAATTTGTATTATCATTAAAGACGTAATGACTATAATCCATAAAGTAACCCCCCAAGTTATGTAAGTAATACATTCCACATATCTTTACATAGTTGGAATTTTATGTAAGTTGAATTTGTAAAGTGCTAAGTGTATTTTCTGTGGCATTATTTTATAAATGAAACTTTATGCAGCAGTATTTACTCAAATATTAATTATAAGAGTATGAAAAATACATAAAGAATATAAAAGCAAATTGAAATAACCTTTTTCATGTCAAGAATATTGATGACAGTTTATTAGTCTTGGTAACTTAGCTACTGTTTTCATCTTCATTCATACAAATTATTTTGAACTTTTCTTCTAAAGTACTGATAGCAGATCTATTTTTTAAGTTTATTTTCAGCACATTCAGTTTAACACTTTAGACCTATTTTAAGAGTAAACAACACACACTAATGACAGTAACAATAGTGAGCTTTCAAAAATAAATATAAATAAAAAAATAAAAACAAAATATCATAAAAAAACAAAACATATCCTAATTAAATACTTTAACATCTTACAAAAATAGAAAATGCAAATAATTGTTCATAAATTTAATTATGTTGATCAATTTACTTTTCTTTCACATCAGTTCATCTGCTAAGAGATTCTAAGGCCAAGAGACGAATTTTCAAAGGATTTTTTAAGTTGAGGATTAAATTCTATTAAAGGTTTTTCATTTAAAGATAGTGTAGGTAAATCTTATGTTGCACAATCAAAAATGAACCTCCTGAATCTTCCATCCTTTACTAGAAAAACTAAGCATCAGAACTTCAACTTTTATCTTTCACATGCTCTTTTTCAACATGACCTTCACCTGTGAAGTAAAACACTTGGCACCCAATAACAAATTTATTGAAAACAGCCATTATTTTTCAGCACCTATTTAAATTTTAAGTTGTTAATATTATGTTTGACCAAACTTAAATGAAACCACATTTTAAATTACACTCTAATTCTAAGGAAGAGAAAGACTACTATAAGTACAATAGTTCTTCTTGGAATATATAAAAAAGAAAACAAAAAGAACAAGTACTCACTAATTAGAGACAAATTTAACAAATGACCCACACAATTTTCTACAAATCACCACTATAAACAAATGACTAAATCAACTGCATGAATATTGTTTGAATGCAGAAGTTATACGTTGAAGAAAGAAGGAATCATTTATGGAGCCCTTATTTCTAATTGATAGGTTTCAGTTTAAATGTGACAGATTTTTTGGGCACTTACATAACTGTGAATTTATATAAGTCACATATCATAAAACTGAGAGTTAGTGTATTATGAAAACCATACAAGGATAATACATTTTATATATTAAGTATGAAAAACCAATGACATGATAAAATGATAAAATTTGAATGAATCTTACCAAGTTGTGTTAAATCTAATGCTTGCCACCAGCCACCTTGCAAGCAGGTAAGTGTAATACCTCTTCTAACATAAATTGCTCCACATTGAGATAAAAGCCACAACGACTGTGAGCAAGGCTCCAACATACGAATACCAGCTATAGACGGAAGTTCAACAGCCACAAGACTATTTGAGTTGCATAGACAAAAAAGTTCATCTGCCTTATTCACAAACCACAGGGAATCTGTGAATGATAAACTTATCCGTAAATGCAAAAAGGAAAATTATTTCATAAATTATTAACTCTTTCGCATCGAGAGATGACCAAATCTGTTTTCAACAAACATCGAAAACGCCCATGTTTACGAATTTGTCTTGGAATAGTTTTCCTTTCCCCCTTTTGAGGTTTCATCCATTCATCCATTGTGCGCAGTTTCACCTTAGGGCCGGATTGCACCTGCGAACGTCAATAGCTTTCAGTATTTCTCCTTTATTTGCTTCAAAAGAATGATTGACATGTCTTTTAACAACTCGCGAAACCAATGAGCCATACACTAACGTGGAGGGGAAAGAACTAGGTACAAAATAAACCAGGCGTTGGGGCGGTTTGCCGTTGCCTGAATGAACGGGCGCTACGGGCGATTTCGATGCCAAAGAGTTAATAATGAGAGCATTTACATAATTTATAGCTGAAAGTTCAGATTAATTTCAATAAAATATGGGAAATATATTAGAAATAACACTTCTGTATTAAGCACTTTTTAATTTTATAAACATCTACTTTATATAATTTAGTTACAAATGTAAACAAGTAAGTACTTATAAGCTATTGCAGTGGATCTGCTATAGGATTGCAGTGGATAATAGGATTGTTACCTAGCTCTCTCTAAAGTTCTACTAGTTAGGTCTACAACGTACTGCTTATTTCTTCATCAACAGTTTCATAAAAATTACTGCAGAGTTTGCTTGTTACATAATCCAATATTATTCTCTACATTAAAAAACCTGCTTCTGTGTTTGTTTTTTACAGGTTTATATGCAGCTGTTTGATTCTTTTTAAATTTGTCAACAAGCTTATTTATGTTGCTATTCATATTTCCTCAAAATTTGTATTTCACGTTTCCCCCCCCTTTTTTTAAGTCACATAGGGCAGGAGTGTAGAGTATTTACACTTAGATGACATTATCAGCTGTTTGTTTAACTTTCTAAATCTTCTAAATTATATAAGGTCTCAGTTGTACATAAACCAGAAAAATTATTGGTAAAGGTTGATTACATACCATACATTACCCTTCTCATTCTATTGAGGCAGAGCATGGTTAACAAACTTTATTATCAAAATGATTTTCCATCTCTCACTTTCACATTGGCATTTCAGTTTTCTATTTTTCCTATTTTTTTCATTTTTGGGTGGTTATTACATTGTTCACCTGCATCTGTTGTTTCAACAATATTAAAACCTCAAGTAGTAATACATCCTTAAGGATCCCTCCCCAAGAGTCTACATATATGTTTACATGTTTTATATTAATATATATACACATGAAACCACAGTTCCACAAGCAGTTTAAATTATGTATATGTATATAAATATATTTATCGAGTTTTATCAAAATTTTCCCGCCATCGCAAATATTGTATGTGCAAACAGTTGGTGTTGGCATGTTTAATCATAGTTTGTAAAATGATTTTTGGCATTTGAAAGAAAGAGACTTGCTTTAGAACACTGTATTGTGAAATTTGTATAAAATATCATTAAGGTGTCTGAAATGGAACTATCATGTTACCAAATTAGGAACCATCATTTACTTTCAGTTCTCTTGCAAAACTCCAGTTACAGACTGTGACCAAATGATGTATATTAGCTTTAGGTGTTAAAGTTTTAACGTATGACCCTGTGAAGGTTTGGTACTGAGAGTTCAAAAACAAAGACTAAGACATTTAAGAAGCAAAGCGCTCTGGCCAGTCTACTGATGTTGATGAGGCCTGACTGCAAGAACTTGTGGAAGAAGATCAGTATGCAACAATTCAAGAGCTTGCTAAGGAGTTAGATGTTAGTGCCATGTCCATTAGTTGTTCTATGCATTGCATAAACTAATGAAAAGTGGATTTACTTCAACAACACAGGCTGAAACGTGAGTTGGTCTGCACCCAGTGAAGCCAATGACAGTGTTGCAAAGTGCAATTTAACTAACAAAAAGATCATGCATTGTATCCGATGGGATTGCAGTGGTATTATCCACAAAGAATATCTGGAAAAAGTTAAACCCTTGGCAATAAGGTTTACAGCAAGATGCTAGTCCATGTTGATGCTGCTATCAAGGAAAAACATTGAATTGACTTCCAGTGCAAAAAGGTAATCTTCCATCAAGATAATGCAAGACTAAATGTGTTTTGCATTCACTGGATGGACTATGTGCAGATTTGAATGGGATCTTTAGCACCCAACATATGGCCCCAACATCGCTCCTTCGGACTTCTACCTTTTTTAATACCTGCAGCTACATCTTGCTAAGGCTATCTTCCATTCTGCACAGGATGTCCAAAATGAGGTTGATCTGTTTTTGAACTCACAGCCACCAAGTTTCTAGGCCGAAGGCTTTGAAAAATAACCAAAACATTGGCAGAAATCATAGATTTGGGTGATGATTATTACCTGCACTAAAAACACTGTTTTCATGGTTTTTTCTTCTTCCCCCCTCTAAATCAAGAATGTTTCTGGGTAAAAACTTTCATTAGTAACAGATATATAACTGTTTAAGAAAATTCAAGGCTAATATTTAAAATACAGAAACATTTTACAATTTTGTTGGAATTTCTTTCTTTATATGCATGTGTGTGTGTACGTGTTAAGTAAAATTTTAACTCCTAAGGTCTTTTTAATCTGGATATTATTCTTTATTATTTTAAAAATAGTAAAATACTTATTATAAATCATTCATTCTAAAGTGCTTCATTCCAAAATTAATCAGTCATATTATTCTAATGTAATGTAAATGATGTATATACAGAGTGTTTGGAAAATATCTAGCAAAAATGAAAGACAGAGGAGACAAAAGCAAGCAGATCTTGCAATGAATGTATGTGCCAAAATGGTGCATTGAGGTGGTATAGGGTGCTGTTGAGCAGAAGAAAAAAGGCATTCAACTGCAATAAATTGTCATTCCCAGTAAGGATTTTGAGTGTTATAAGCATTGATACATGAATTGTATCTGTAAGGTTGTGACTAAAATGCAGCAACTATTAAAAACTCAGTCCCATATACCTCCTTAGAGCAGCAGCTATACCATTTGCAGCCTTGCAAATACATGGTGGTGAGCTACACTTTCAGGTAATGATCCATACCACTAGAAATCTGCTGACATGACAGCAAAACACTTTTATCTCCTGCTCAACAGAGCCCTGCACCACCTCAGCATGTCATTTGGGCCTATTCCATTGCAAAATTTTTTCATTTTGGTCCCATCTATCTGCCACTACATTTTTGACACATATTTTCTGAAAACACTGCAATTATATACCATTAAATGTAAAAATGAAGTTCTTTTATCAAATAGTATTTGAATTAACACAAGATTACATACGGCTTTTCGAATGGAAATTTCTAGCAAACAAAAATCCTACGATGTGCCCTTATTCACCTTATTCAATGCAGGCAATGTTTGGTTCTCCAAAATTAAGACCAAAAGGTTCATGAATTAACTTTGGATTTCAAGGCACCTATGATAGGAAAACTAAAAACATTCACAAGAAAGTACTTCCAAAACTGCTTCTGAAAGTTTCAGGAACAATAATATAGTTGCGTTTACGTAAAAGAGAAATGCTTTGTGCTGGTTTGAGACAAAGACAAATGGCAATATGCCTCACACTGTAACATTTTTTAATTACTTTATTTAAATATTCATGGCAATATTTATCATTCCTTATATGTAAACTATCTAACACTAGTAACATTAGATGTGGTAAAAGTTTTACACAGTAAAAAAACTGTTTTAAAGTGCATAAATCATATATAAACAAAAAGGTCTCATTGAGATCTTCAACTTGATGTCAGCTTCATATGGCTACACCGAATAGTTCCAGAGATATATTGTGCAATAAAATGTTATCTCCTTTGTCTTTGCGATTACCATTGTAAATGGAGCCGAGGAGTCATCATCTCAATAAAGAGCCTCTTAAAAGCGATTTTATATTAAAGGATATCTCGGCATTAGTTAGCCATCCAACTTCAATCCACATACCATCAGTAAGCCGGCACCTTCTGCTTGCTTCCAATACAAGTCACAAGTCTCAAGTCTGTAGTGCGATGGTGAATGGTTTCAAAATGTTTTTATAAAGTGTCTTTACAAATGCCATTTTCAAGGTTTAACATCTCGATCTACTAAGAGTGTTGCAGCATTTAAACAGAAAAAGATAGGCCACTGAATTATCAACATTTTGATGCGCATCTTAGAATTTTAGCTCCAACAGTTTTAATTTTATTAGGTGATCTTTTACAATTTCAAGCATCTGCATTTAATCCCTTCTTTGCTCTTGAGGAAGTAACGGCATAGGGTAAGTCCATGTGATCAAGCCCCTATAACAATAACAACCTTACCTTAAAAGTTACCCCAGTACAACTATCCAATGTGTTACTGCTTAGAAAACGAACTTCGAACTTTTTTTTTTTTTTTTCTTCTGTAGTATGTCAATAAGTACTTTTCCTGTTGCACATAACTGCTAATTTTTGAAATATTTACTTATTTATTATTTTTATTACTATTATTATTATTATTGCAGTTTTCTCTTTTCCCCTCCTTAATTTTCACAATTCTTCTTTTTGTGATCTCTGATATCAATCTAATGCATAGTGCGAAGATAAATAGCTGCTGCAATCTAATATATTCCACAATTTTTTTATTTCAATCTAATTTTATGATAGTTAGTACCAACATATAAATAGTGTAATCATCATTCCTTATTTTATGCCTATTCACTTTTGATTTTAACATAATTTGAGTGTTGTGCATATGTAAAATAACTTTAAAGTGCATTATATAATCTTAACAATTCTTAATTTTATACAGTTTAGATAACAGCATCCTGTTATTTTCGCTGATAATTTTGCAATAAGCATGCCTTGTTAAAAATTTTAGTAACTAATTTCATAGTTTATCGTGCTTTAATTTATTTTTTCCCTTTATCTGATGTACTAACGGGTGTATTAACCCTCTGAGCGGTGCAGGATTTTAGATCTGTCATGAA